GTCTTAAGATTCTTCTATTCAAGGGGCACATTTTATTCCTGCAGCTTGCAAGGTTTTTCTTGCTAAGGTCTTCTCTGAGCTTCTATTATGATGTTCCAATTTTCATTTTTACAAAGTTTAATATCTTGAAAGCTGTCCAGTCCAAATTTATAAGAGCAATACTTGCACTTCCAATATGCATCAAGAATGCTGTTTTACAGTTAGAGTATGGTTTCTGTGGGTGCCAGAGCCTGGTCCTATCTCCCTAATTTCTGGTTGAAATTGATTTTTTCTCCTGTGGGTCTGGCTCTACTGGTTCTTAGAGACTGTTTTAAATTAACCTGGGTAACGAAAGCTAATAGCAAACTCTAGCCCTTAGGACTCTTTTTGGAAAGCCTGTGTCCATTAGGGCCTGAAAATGCCAGGAGTCATCTTAAACAACATATCTGGGATACTGATTTTCAAACCAGTTTAAGCCTATGGTTGAAGTTTAGTACAAATTTTCTTGATAGCCACTGCTATCTGTATTAGTTACTATAACAATGTATTTTATGTAATTTTATTGCATTTTATTAATAATAATTACAGGTTTATGTATTTTATTGTTGTGCTCTTTGGCCTAAAGGCCATAATAAAGGTTTGATGATGACGACATGTAATACTGGAGCCTGTCTGTTAGAAGTAAGAAACCTTGCTTTGCTTATGAAAATTATCAGGAAAACAAAGACTTGCTTTCAAGACTTGAAAAGCCAGAGTAGCCAGGACTTCTGGGTGAGGCAATGGCAAGCTAAGTTGTCTCTGGAGGAGCAGAGATGACAATGTGGCTAAGACTGAAGAACTGGCTACAAGCCTGGTCCAACCGATCCTCTCTGGACAAGAAGGATGAGAGATTGCCCACTTATGCTCCAGACAGCTGCTCCTTGCAAGGAGATCACAAAACAGCAATCGACCCACACGTTTGAATGCCAGGAGACAGGGGAAGCCTTCAAGCTCTCAACTGGGGCAGAGCCTTTAAGGACACAGGGTTAGCCCAAACTCACTTTCCAAACACTTTTGGATTTACAATTATTTTAAAGTTAAAAGAAGTCTTCTAAGCAACAAGTTAGAAAAGCTATCTGGTGAGTAAAAGATCATCGCAAAATAGAGGAGAAACTAATAAACAACTTAAAAGAATTTAAAGAATATAACATAAATAGCAAAAAGCTAAATAAGAATTTATTTCAAGAAAGTTTTAAACAAATTAAGGGACCAAAAGAATTTGAAATATTAGGACTTTTGAAATAATAACTTTGTGGGAACATAAATTGTTTAGCCTATAAGGAACAAGATGATTGGTTGAAAGTTGAAAATAAAGAAACAAAGAAATTTGAGACTTTGTGATTACAGAAATGGGACACTAGTGGGGACTAAAGACAAGAGGGAGAGGGGGAGAGAGAACCTGTCTTTTATTTTGAAACCAAAACAAGAGCAGTGAAATTTATAAAATAATCCATCAACTATTATTACCACATATCATAAGAGTATGAATGCACGAAACAGCGTACACACAGAATATATGCCCAATGGGCAGATCTGACAGTGAGTTTTCCGTTTAAAATGTGGCCAGAAGGAAATCCAGACTTGATTCTATGTAACAAACACCATGCCTGAAAAAAGGTATGTAATCTAAAGCTCTAGGATTGCATGCAGCCCCTAAAGCTGTGGTTCAAATCTGTCCAAAATTTGTCTTCAAATTGTAATTTTGAATGTACTAGAAGAGAGAAATTATTGCATGTACAAATCCAGATAACTTACATTAATATATTTAATTCTTATTAAATGTAAATGAAATCAAATTTAGTTTTAGAGACAGCATGCACCCCTCCATGTGCTCCTGAGTCTGGAAAAAGGTACATCTTCCTGCCCTATTACCTTCATTCTACCTTTGTCATCTTAAAAGATGCCAAAAATGATTTAAAATTTGAGTGTCATTTGAATTTAACTGTAGCTTCAACAGTAAACAATCTCAGGTCTTCCTAAACAGAATTAGTTGTTGCCATATCTTTAGAAAAGGCAATTGTCATGTGCAATGTATATAATTCACAACTGCAGTTTCTACACAGGCTTTCTACCTTATTATTTGTATGGTGCTTTATTTACAAATCAGAGGGAGGAAACCTTTTACACTAACACAACTAAATATGCATTTCTAGAAAGCAGTCATGCCTTACCGTTTGCTACATATGTAATCTTGCATAGGATGTTGTCTCTGCTTATTTTTTTGTTTCCTTCTGGAGGGCTTACCAATGTCTGGCAAATCATAGCAATATTTATTTTGGCACGAACACATCGATTGTTAGTCTGTCAAGAAATACAAACATTCATATTGTTGTTGGTTAAATGCTGACTGTGAAGAAATATTATGGCATAAACTACTCCTTCATTTTCTTTCCATTAGAAAAAAATCCATTAAGCTAAATATCCTGAATCTTTTCTATGGTTTTCTTTTAAATTATCCTTGCCCTAGGGTTAATAAACACTGCAATTGAGAAAAGAATTCTAAAATAGTAATACCTTAAGAAACAAGAAGTTTTACTTACAGGAACACTATCATGTTCCACAGAGAAGTTGCAGACAATCCATGTTTCAGTGTCATTTTCATTTAAAGCTGGTATTTTTCTAATAGCAGATAAATACAGCACATCACGTTGAGAAGCAGGCCATACTCGCTAGAAGGAAAGCATTTGTATAATGTTTTAAAGTATTCAGCTTTTTTAAAAAAACACTTCTGTAGTAATCCTAATAACAGAAGGCAGAAATAAAACAAAAATAGGAACAAAAATATAAATTTGAGGATACTGATTGTTATATATATAGTTTTAAAGAAAAA